AACAAGGCATGTGCTGGCTAACACGTGTCTGTCAAACTGCGATGACTGCGGGAAAGACACCGGCGGACTGAAGAACGGGAGTTACTGTACCCGTATTCAAGAAGGGAGACCACAAGGAATGCTCCAATTATAGAGACATAACGTTATTGAGCCTCCCAGGCAAAGTCTACGCAAAAGTGTTAGAAAGGAGGTGCCGCAAGAGTAGCTACTGTAGTTTTCTTGATGCTTGCATTTGTGGCTACGTTCCTACGGACTATTAAGAAGTGCCAATCTGACCATAAATAAGGTATTCCCTGTAACGGCATAGCCACACTACAGTTGCCTAACAATCTTGGAGTTCCACAAAGTCGACTTTCTTCTCACTACTTTTCATACTGTACACCAACAATTTAAGACCTGAACTATCACAGCTATGGGTTAAATATGCGGATGATAGTATCCTCATGTAATTGCTAGAAACCTCAAGACTTGGAAGAATGGAAAAGCGACAAGAAGAAACTATTTTCCTAGTCCAACTTAAATCGATTTATTTTTATTGCCAGCAATTGCGCATAGTATGTCTTAATGGTCAAAATAAACGAAATCACCAACTCGTGATTCCTGCCAGAGAAGGAACCATCTGCTCTAAACATCAATCATCTGTGTTAAAAATATGAGGTTCCTTGGTGTGGTCATTAATGAAAGGTGAATTTGGTTTGATCAATAACTTACGTTATCAGTGACGTGAGAAAAGACGTTGCATCCTCTCTGCTTACTTAGGGATACTTAAGCCTTGGTGGTGATATACAAGGTACAGCATGATACCCACTATTCATGCTTCTCCACTTGAATTTTAAAGCTTAATGATTGGTGATTTTGCGCTCCTGGGATGATGTGTCAGTGCAGTCGCTAGTTTTGGAAAATTGTTGTACTGAATGGTGGTTGAACGATTGACACACAATTAGTGATAATTCTGTCTCCTTCGCAAGATAATTACTCACTCAGTTCATACATTTAACAGCTTACCATTCTCGTAATTTCACAACATTACGAAACTTAATGCTTCTTATAGCAAAAACTGATACATGCAACATTTCAGTGGTGTTCCATTTAATCTGAACCCTGTTGAATCCTCGTGCATTTGAAGTATGATGTCTTTCTATAGGTATTGTCTTACTGTAACAATTATCTTACTGTTCCATACTGTATTGCATAAATGCTGGAGATGTGGACAGAACTGTGCATAACCGCGGAAAGTGCTTCCCCTTGAACATGAGGACGCCACGATTTTCCAAATGATAGGTACTATACAATGCTACAAATAAGGAACGATTAAAGGGCGCCGTATAAATGGGGGTATGAATAATTGAGTGAAAAATCGTTTGCATATGCTCTGTATTCTGTCATCACCTCCTATGATGTGATTTATTCGATTCGAATAAAACTTACGAATGGAAATTTTTGAGTTTTTGTTCGAAGCCGGAAGCGTTGCCTGAGGTGCCGATATTCATGATCGATTGGTGCATGCTCGAAAGGAGTTCCGATTCGAGTGACGTTATAATACTGTGGCGCTGAGCATAACGGTGTTCTATCTTCCAGTTTGCGATTGCGCTACCACATGCGTATTGGTAGAAATTGTCGCAGGGATCTTTGGAGGCGTTCATTGTTTCCAGCACGAACTTCTCGTAACGGCTGAGATTAGGAGCATCTTGAACTGGGTTGTCGATACCACCACCACTTCCATGCTCAGCATCTGAAATGTTTCAATGCTCTGAAATCGCCATTAATAAAAACATTCTCTTGCGATACCTGAAATGGGCGTTGTTGCATTGATTCCGTTTGCCTCTGTATTGTTGAAGGCATAAGCCACATAGGAGACTACCATAGAGAAAAGAAGCTGCCGTATACACGTTTTGCCAAAAGCTGCCATTTCCTCAAACGATGATCAGGAAAGTGATGCAACTCTTAAGTACCCTTTTGTGTTTACTTATGATTGGTAACAGGGGACTTCGAAAGATAAGAGCTGCATCGTGCCATTCCCCATATGACGTCACAAAGTTTTATGCAGTTCTCCGCGAATTTTACCAGTGTTTGCCAATGTCAGAGCTGAGCGGAGGCTAGCGCTGCTCTCCAGTGACATTTACAGTTCAAATTCACTTTCCGAAATTGTTAGACGTCTCAATAGCAAATCCGTACCTGATTATTAGGTGTGCGTTGAACGAGGTAATGAATATTAAAAATGAGAAAATGTAGAATTTGAAATGGAAAACGAGGTACTTGCATTGAATGTAAAACAGTAATTCATATAATAAGCTTAAAAATAAAAACAATTCATGTCATTTTGTTGCTCTTCAAAAATTTAATACGGCTTTACTGTCCTGAAAAACGGGCACTTACAAAACTGTTGAATCGCAATGCTCGGCGAGAAAATGCAGCATGTTTAATTCCAACTACCTTCCAGGTGAAAACCTTCCCCAAAACCTGCCATCAGCTCTCATCTATCCTTGTGACGATAAATTGAATGTCACGATGCCGGATGAACATGTTAATACAATTGGCACTAATGAAGCCTATGTGCTCATAGGCTCTGTGGCGAGAGGGGGGCAAAAACTAGTCCCAGGTACTGCCGATACCTGTTTTCAGTTGATTCTGCATTGATTCATACTTGACTTATTGAACGCCATAAATAGTTTTGATATCCCAACGTCTCATGTCACAATTTGCTACTGTACTCTATCTTGTGTAATGTCTGACGTGATATCATTGCAAGGATGTATCATCGGTGTGCATGCCAGTACCTAGCTTGTACTTTGTCAGTAAATGCCGCCTTTCCGCAATTATATTTCCATTTCAATCGTTGCGCTTCAAGCCGGTTGTTAGGATAGCATGGCCATAGCCTGCCATGAAATAAACATGTCTGTTTGTGTCGCCTGAAAGCATGACTGTTAATGCATATGCATGACGCAGTATAATATATGCAGAAACATTTTCTTCATGGCATCAAGTGGTGCATGAGAATTTCTCATCGGCTTTACACAAAATGAAGCTCCGCAAGATCTGGTCGCAAGTGAGGTCACATGCAGGTATAAATGCGTCACAGGCTAAGGTCAGGTGACACATGCAATGACACTTAATTATTTCATAGTTTGACTATAGGTAATTGACTGATAAGGCAAAATGGCTGAAATGTCTAAAACGTCAAGTGGTTAGAAAGTGCCTAGTAGAGAACAAAGACCCTTGAGGTATGGATCGAACAATTCTGTGATCGTCGGCGTTGACAACAGTTCGTAACTACCAATTATTCAGTGATGAACCTCTCTGACAGAGGGCTTATACTCAGAAATGAAAGCGGTAAGCATAGATCCCACGATAGTGATTACTAACACACACAAACCATGTGGATTTATGGATCTTATATCATAACCGATACATTAATATGTTTTAATTTATTAATACGCATCTACGCATGTACTTCTTTTCTATAGTTCCTCAAATCATCCATAGAGTCTTCAATTGTGAGTACCAGAGAACGATGATTTCTGCTTTAGAAATTGAAGGCAGATTTTGCGGCTTCGAATGAATTTTTCCATTCATAATATGTGTCATTCCTCTGATGCTTCCTATTCACCGAACATATTTATTGGTCGGCTGCACGCGGTCGGTTTGGAGGGTTGAAATTTGCATAGAGTTCTGGGTTAATGACCAATTTGACTTCAATAAAAACTTTTTCATTACATTAAATCATATTGCACACTTTGTGTTGATATGTTATTTATATGCAGAGTGTTTCAGAACTAGTATCTTTTAACAGTGTCTCAGAACCGGTTGCGCTGTGTATAACAAACGGTGTTAAACGCCACTTTTGCAGCACAAGCAAAAAGGGCGTGCAACTACTCTATCAGTGCTTCAAAATTATCTGTCATTACAACCTGTCCACGTTCGATTTCGAATGCTCAAAAGATACGCTAAAGCTTAGCTTTCCCTGAAGGTACGAACGCAAGTTCA